TTTGAAAAACATGACAATAAGGCCTAGTAAGAGAAATAATATATATATATAAATGATACTTGTTGAATTATAAATGAAAAATACCTCATTATGTGAATCTTGTATGGCTTTATGCATTTGTAATGCTTGATCAGTTTGTAGAATTGTTGTTTTAGTCGCTGCATCAAATAAAAATGGATAATTACATATATTGAATTGCTCCGGCTGAAAGTGCAGAAATTAAATGCTTATTAGTTGTAAAATATTTATATATTCATATATATGTCATAATATATTTACAGATTTATCGAACAACCAATATACATAATCTTGTTGTATATCAACATATTCCATAAGTTCCGGCCAATTAAAAATCTCGTAACATATTTTTTCTTTCCGTAGTTTGTGATTGATATAATGCAAAAAACCTAATAGATTTAATGCCGTAAGTAAATGATAATTATAGGTGACGCACTACAAAATTCGAATTTTATTTTATTTGAAATATAATTTATATAAATGTAGAAAAAGATTATTACTCTTTTAGTAGGATTATTAGAAGAATTTGGTGGCATTTTGATTGTTATAATATATATCACAACATTTTTATAATTAGAAACAATATTTTCGAACCAGTCACATGGGGCGTTGGTCCACCAAGAGCGAATGATTTTCTTTGGAATTTCAGTAAGTCGGTCAACAGCATTGCTAAATGGTGTATGCAATTTTTCATACTTTTTAGAATTTATAAATTCATGATATAATGGCAATGTTAAGTATATACGTAAGGTTTCGAAATCTGCTGGCACTGTCGTTAATGATTCCATCAAATCTCCGTAAATTTTTTCGAATATCTAGATGAAAGATGTGATTATTTACTTTATAAAAGTATATGTACTTTGATACTATTTACAATATTTTTTAAACTTTCATTTTCAATTTTACGTAAATAAGAAAACACAGTAGAGGCATCCAGGAAATTTACGCCATTGTTTTTTATGGAGCAACAAAAATGTTTGCTATTATCTAAAAGGAATGAACTGTTCCAACAAGCCATACTTTTGAAAGTATGCTCAACTATAGTTATTAAATCCATGTCAACTAAAATATCCTTCTGAACTGCAGCACACTGCATAGCCAAATCGTTGGTGATTTCCAATATTTGAGTTGAAGAACTACAAACAAATTCCATGAGTTTTATTTAGCAACACATGTTATAAATTCTAACCTATAGATTCGGAAATCTACGGATGGAATTTTGCTTTCAAAATCAGTCGTTATACAAAGTGATTGATCTCCACCGGAAAATATTTCTTTAATTGAAACATTATCCTTATTTTCGCTTTTGATTAAGGCTGATCCACTTGGTGAGACCTAACAGTATAAAAATATTTCTGAACTATATTAAGTTTTATTGTATAAGTAATTATACGAACCCAAGGTCCTATCACAACTTGAGGCACACTAACACTATTAGTAACACGCGAACCTAATTGTCCACAGCATCCAAGGCCAAAGCCGTAAACTCGACCACGAGACGGCACTAAAGCTAAAGTATGTCGTAAACCACATGCAATTTGCGTTATAGTACTACCCATAAGTTCGCACACCATACGCGGCAAGACTTCATTGGATTTACCGCCATGGCCCAATTGACCATAAGCACCACTTCCGCATGTAAATACTCCTCCATCATTTGTTAAAAATGTAGAAAATTCTTCTCCGCAGGATATATAGCGTACAGCTAAATTTCGTAAAGTTTTCAAATGCGTTGGATAGCATCGATTTTCTTCGTCACTAAGTCCTAATTGGCCTTTATTATTCAGTCCCCAACCATATACTGCACCCGATTTTGATATAATAAACGAATGATTCCCACCACATGCTATGTATGCTATTGGAATTCCTTGTATTGTTGTAACTAATTGTGGAGAATTCGACTGTTTTTTTACATTTGAAGGTGCTACTCCCAGCTGACCAAACGCATTGCTCCCCCAGGAATATAATTCACCACCTAAAAAATATGTGTATATTAAAAAAAAAAAAGCTAATATAAATGCAAAACTTACAACTTGTCAAGCATAAAGTATGATTATTTCCACAAGCAATTTGTATTATTATTTTAGGTATAAGTAACTTTATAATTTTAGGAGTTGGTATCGTATCATCAAGTTGACTTAAACCTAATTGGCCACAGTGATTCTCACCCCATGCAAATATCTGTCCCCATTCGCTTAAAGCTACAGAATGCTGTGCACCGCAAGCGATTTTTGTTATCTTATAATTTTTTAACTCTGGTATAAGCTCTGTAAATTGTAAAAAGAAATCTTTTAAGATTAAAATTAAAAGTAGATTGAAGTCTATTAAGTGATGTAATAATAAAATATAATGTTGTGAAACATGTATCCCCTTACATTAAATGTGCAATTAGTATAGATTTGTATGAAAGCCTTTTTATGATATATATGATATATAATGAAAATTTTGTACATAAATTTTATTTGTACAACGTGGTGTGAAATAGGATACGTAGTTTTGATTTGTTTACGTCATATTTAATAAGAATATAAACGACTTTAATAATAAAAATGGCCAAATATTTATTTACTGATTTTAAGTTAGAAAATTGTATTGCACATAGTATAGGAAAGATATAAGAGTATAATTACTATAAGCTGGTAGAATGTGAATAGAATGAATATATATTTATATGCATATATATATACATATATGTATAGATATTTACAATTCCTAAGAAACACATAAAAGTGTTATATTGTAGTCTCAATTCTGTATATATGCTTATATGTTTCGGCTTGTGCATACAGAAAATCATTAATTGTGTTTATCACTTATCTATCCATTTTTAGCATATCCAATTACATTTATCGTTTCTTAGAAAAGTTATATTTTTCCAATAGTCGTTAGTGTACAAATGCTTAGTTAAATTCAATGTGAAATAAATGTGTAAATAATATATGTATATGGTAAATGAGATGATATTTAAGCAAATGATTAAGTACATACTAAACTTAGACATACGTGGCCGTTTCGTTGGCAGTTCACCTAATTGGCCTAATTGACCATTATCATTGTTACCACAAGAATACACTTTTCCATCAACTGTAAGAAAAAGTGTATGCCATTTTCCACATGCTATGTGGCATATACTTGTGTCAGGCTTCCAAGACATTTTGCGAGGTATCAGTATCTTCAACATATATAAAATTATTATATCAAATATCGTATTTACATAAATATTACTTACATGCTCTTCTTCAATACCTCCAAGTCCGAGCTCCCCATGGACAGTATTCCCCCAACAGTATATGGACATTGTTCTTTATTTTTTATACGCTCATTCGTATAGTTATCAAATTATTTTCTGAAATGTTTTATTATAAACACATTTGTACTGATTGTCGCCGTTATCTTTTGTGGTTTTGTTAATTTTGACATAAAATGTGTAATATCCAATCTTCTTGAAAATTCTAGATCATTGTATCAATGTTTCTTAATGTTAATAAATTATTACTTGTCAAACATTTACTTATTTGTAATTTATTATATGCATTTAATAATACGTACACAATATGTAAACAGAAAATGCAAGGCACAAAATAGTTCCAAAAAATATAGAATGAATATCAAATTTAGGACATTTCCTTTTAAATGCGATTTTTTTATGAAGACCCAAAAAAAAACAATCTGAAATTTTGACGTTTGGCTATGTGTTGCCAGCTGTTTCACCCTATTTCAAATGTACTCATAGTAATAATATAGTTGGCATATATAAAAAATAGTTGATAAGTATATTAATTTAAATTACAGCAAAAATTTAAGGTTTAATAAATTTAAAATATAGTTTGATATATTTTTAAATGGAGAAAATTTTTATTTATTCCTATTATAAGTAAGTTATACACAACACAGCAATTGTAATTTTGATTATAATGTTCTTTCGACTTTCATCGTTACAAAATCCTATTAAATTTACAATCCTAATCCATACATACATCGGATAATGAAAACCAGATCATAGCATTACAAAACAAAAATGACTACAATTACAAAAACAAAAATGAGAATTAAAAATGATTTAGCAAAGCTTGCAAACTAATAAAAATCACTACCAATGAATAATGTCACTAAAATCCAATTAAACCTCAATAATTGTAAGACGCACATTATTAACATCCAGAAAATGCGATGAACCAACCAAGTGGATAGTTGTAAAATCAGATATAGTTCTGAGGTTAGCAGGGGGATTTAAATAACCAAAAAAATTGTTCTTATTATCATCTTTTTATAGTTTTATTATATACTGTAAAATTTTACATTATTGCAATTAGGTTTGTAATATGCTTCAAGAATAAAAACGAATTTAAGAATAAAAGCTCAATGAAATTATTATTTTACATGTATATGGTATATTTAAAGTGATATTGTATTATATGTTTACATTTTAGTGACCGAACTTTACTATTTCTCTCAATTTACCATCAACTTATTTGAATTCGCACACGATTTTAATTATTAATTTACTATAATAACACTTAAGACTGTGTGCAAGTTCGAGTAAATTGATGGTAAATTGGCAGAAATAGTAAATTATGCCAGTATGGCAGCGAATGTAAGTATTCACCAGAATTTCGAGTAGGGTAAATTAAATAAAAATTAAGTTAATTAGGTGTTACCATTAAGAAAATTTTATAAGGTGTTTAATAAATAAATAGATAAATTTAAAAACTTTTAACCAAAAATAATAAATAAGTGAAATAAATAAATATTTACGTAATTGCTGTACAAAAAATTCCTGAGAAATTTCCATTTACTTTACCTCAATTTACTCGAACTCGTACACGGCCTATATATTTGAATGTTTATATTTGATACTATTTTAAAAAAGTACTTTATTAAAAGCACTTTTATTTTATTATATAAAACCCTATATGGTGAATGCTTTTGTTTGACAGCTCTGGATTTTTGACGTTATCATTCTGCTCCGTTGCTATTTCGTGTTGATCGAAAATATAAGTGGCGTGTTTTATTTAGAAGAATTTAATTTTATATTGACGCTACCACACTAATAGTAGGCCTAATGGCTTTTCCAGCATTAAGTGCACAACAAGGTTTGTATAGCATGCATTTTATAAGTTTTATTAAATCTCTGAATAAAAAACTATATATAAATGTTTTTCAACTGGTTCTTAGTTCCTTTTAACTAATTTGAAATAATGAAAAAGTGTTAATTGGCTTAAAAGTGAAGTTTTAAAGAGCTTATACAAATTATGCATTATTATAAAAATATGTTTATTTAGTTATATAGTTTGAAATTCCATTATAAGGGAAATAGATGGCATAAAGTTGCTGTATATGTTTAGGTTTTACGATATCGTTTCCGTAATTAAATGGATATTGTCACTTCATATTTATCGCATTATTAGTTTATTTATTCAAGTACTTATTGCGAATATTTTGTTAATTAATAATTTAATTTAATTATATTTTAGAAACTACTCAACGAAAAGTCCTGGAAGACGTTAGAAAACAACTTATTCATAAAGGAGTCCCACCAGTAACAGGATTAGGCACAGGCTTAACTCCACCCGTTAGCCAAGTATATAATTATTTATTTCCTTAAACAATTGTCAATAACGTTGTTAATATTTCTAGGTGCCTACAACGCAAATAATTGGAACATTACCTGATTTCGGACCTGGCACCAGTGCCGCAACAACACCACGCTCAATTTTTAATCCAAATAGCGCATCTACTTTAGGGTTTTTTATACCTCAAGATAGTTTTTTCGGTAACAACTTTATACCAGTGTTACCTCGTTTAGAGCCTTCATCACCAAATCAAACGCCTAAGTAAATTCTTTTAATATATATCACAATTACTGACTCAATGGCACGAATTAAACTAAAAAAACTTGAGGAATATTTACAAGGTGTTGATGGCTTTGAACAACCTAAAGTTAAGTTAGAGCAATATCCTACACCACCGCATATTGCCAGTTGTGTTTTATATAATATACAAGTAAGTACAAATGTTTATATTAGTAAAATAACATAATTTATAAACAATAAAATGCAGGCACAGTATGACGATATTGATGGTAAATTAGTTGGCGATTTAGGATGCGGTTGTGGTATGTTAAGTGTTGGTTCATTTTTACTTGGTGCTCAACTAACTATAGGTTTTGAAATTGATACTGATGCTATAGAGGTAATTATTATTTTGTCTGTTAAGTATAAATTATACAAAGTTATAATGCAGGTATTTCGTTCTAATATAAATGAAATGGAATTGTCATCTATTGATTGTATACAAACTGATGTGTTAAATCTAGCAAATACTAAGTGGACAAATTCATTTGATACTATAGTAACAAATCCTCCATTTGGAACCA